ATATATGAATATGGGAATATATGAGCAACATTTATAATTTATAATTGTCAGCTAAGACGTGCATACACATACATATGCATCCATACAGCTATGCTCACGAAAATAGTGCGACTCGTTTTGAGAATAATGTCAAATTCCAATTCATTTTGAGTATTTCGATACAAACTCAACAAAACTAAAAAAAAAAAATAGAAACATAAATCTATTTTATATTTAATATTAGCCAAAGTTCATTCAGTAATTCTGAGGCACTACTAAATTCCTGAGCACAACTGTATTTTTAAATGATATATATGCATATGTATTTACTAATATGTATATATGTGTATATTCTCCAATGTATATTTGTATAATTCATCTCTTTTTTTATCCATTGAAGCCGCTCTTTGCATATTGTTTGTTAATTAGCGGCACTTAATTGACTTTTATTGCGCTTAATTATCGGAGGCGGAGTTGGCGCTGAGCGGGCAGCGGTTGGCTGGGCAAGCGGGCTCCACCTTTGGCCCGCCAGACCGCCCGCCCGCATGCCTATCAAACAACAAGCGTATGCGGCCCATAAATTTCCATGCTTACACACACACACACACACACACGCACACACAGACACACATGCTGAAATTGGACTCGTAACTATAATTGCGGCTTCTTATTGGCGTAGCACCCGTTTTTAATTTGCCAAATTAGCAACGAGCCTGAGAGCCCCGCCAAAAAGGCAAAAGCCAAAAGGCGCCTGCCCACGCAACTATTCCATGTTCCATGCTCCAGGTGTGCGCGCGGGCTGTGGCCGTAATTATAGCGGCGATACCCCCAATCTACGATGTACGATTCGTATTTAATATTCAGACTTATTAGGCGTGCGTTAATGTAACGCGTCGGGGCGAGGCAGCTGGGGCGTGGCATGGCGTGGCTTCGCATAGCGTAACTCGGCACTCGGGCAGGTGAAATGCATATGAATGCTATATATGTATGTATATATGTAGATCTGAGCCCATTGCATGAAATTTCCACGAATTCGAGTTGTGGCTGCTCTGGCTGCCATTTCAGCTTGTTGCCTCAATTAATGAAATGCTGAAATATTCAAATTTTATTGCCAAATTAAAATAATTGGCCGCAACACGACTTTCATTCCATTGCCGAAGAACAGGCCAAAACAAAAGACTTAAGCGACGAACGTGAAAATGTGTTTACAAACATTTTCAAAGACATTTCCACAGTTTGTAGATCAACGGTCAAATTAATATTGATAAATACTGTAAAATAAATATATATAGCATATACGATATATTAGTTATATTAGTATGAGGAATTTTCACTGGAATTTTAAAGCAAATTTAAAGCAAAAATGTTTTAAAATTAAAAAACATTTTTTTAATAGATTACTAGAGCTATTTTATTCGTTTGTATTATCCAAAAAAAACAGTGACCAATTTGAAAATGAATTCAATTATGATAGGTTAAAGATGCATTTTATGCCGTCATCAAGGCAAACTCCATAAGTTTTATATTTTGAATAATACATATTACCAGAAAAGAGAAAGATAAGCAATATTAATGCAGAGAGTTGATGCACTAATAAATATTACTAAAAACATAATTTGAAACACCAAGCTGAACCTTCACTTATGTCATTTACTCAATCTGTACTGATTCCTTATTTATTTTATCAATGCCTTTTATGTCATGGATCGTAACCCCTATTAGTTTCCAGTGAATTCAAGTGTATGCGAAATAAGACTTCATATAACACAAATATGAACCTTCATACTAAAGCCCAATTTTACAGAAGCCACATATCATCGCATTTACTTACTAAATTATGGAATATGCCAGGCTGTAATCAAAAGCAGATACATTGAATTTTGTTTTGTGTTAGTTAGAGTAGCCCGACTGCATAATACTCGTTCGCTCTCACTGAACTGTCAATTTTAGAGTTTTTAAAATTCGCCCCCAAGAAAGAGCTTGGTATGATTGTTGGTTACTCAGCCAGACGGTAAACAAAACAGATTCCCAAATTATAGAAGGTACAGTTTGCTCCAGTTGGGGCAGAGATATATATAGAATTACCCGACTGTTCACACCTCTAGCTGTCATAAATATATTTCAATATTTCATTAATGTGAAATGTTTTGAGTTACTATGGACAGCAAGAAATCGCTGCAAGGTGAATAATTCGGATAAATTCCTAAGTGTATAATATTTGTAATAATATAATGATGGAAAATGGGACATCGGACAGCTAGATCGATTCAGGTGAAATATACATCTATGAGTCTTTAATAAATTTCATCTATGATTATGAAAAGTCTCCCGCCAATGGACACAACGACTACACGACTACAGCATGACACAAAGTTGAGTTTTTAGGGTAGGAGAAGACTTTGATGCCGCCTGTTACATGTGCCTAGCAGACTTTTACCCTATTTTAGCAGTGAGCCAGTAAAAAGAAGAGGAATAATAATAATAAGATGAAAAGCAACTGAGCGGTGAGAGAACGTTTTGCGGTTTTGTGGGCAAACGAATTAAATTGTTAAGAATCAGCAAACAACAGTTGGCCCGGCTATGATCCTTCAAGCGCTGCTGCGGTCACCTATACAAATGGATTTTTAAATGCCCTGAAACCGCAATCGATCGTTAAATTGTGTTCCGCATGCCTAGCGTGCCTCAGTGCAGGGCCTATACTATAGTAAGTAAGTATCGTAGGTATTATTAATTATCTTTAAACTATTATTTGTTCTTGTTTTATTAAGTGTTGGCTGAGTCGATTTCACATTAGGTGGGACTGCTTACAGCTTAAGTAAAAGCTTTCCGATACTTTCAATTTTGTTGTCCTTGATGGCTGATGCGATCATCGATCCGACCTCGATTCATTGCTTTCCCTCTCTCTCTCTCTCTCTCTCGCGCTCTTTATCTCTTTGGCCGATCAAATTATATGCCAGGACACATATATCTTTATATATATTCATATGTTTTATAGATTAAACTCCGCGCACGAATAACGGCGCTTTTAATTTGGACGAAAGAAAAGACTTCGTAGCATTGATTCAAATCAAATCAAACGATCAGTTGCGAACTCTCTTGACTCGACTGGTTATTTCTCTCAGTTTTTATTTTATTTTTGGAAGCTGCGCTGCGCTGCGTTGCGTTTCAATGTATCATAAAGCTCACGATCGGCTCACTAATTATGCTTAATTATTGATTATTGCGGGTTTTCACTAAGCCGCCAAATTGCGCGTACGTGCGTCTGTAAAATGACTTTCACAGATATGCTGGCCATTGTTTTTGTTGCTTTTAATCACATTAGCGATCGCAAACTGTATCAAAAATTAAGAAATAATTTCGGCCAAATTCTTGACGACCAGAAACACGCACACCTTGCAGACGCCTATTATATTCAAACTGCACAGAGTTAAGGAATGCAATGTTTAAAACAAACAGATTTTTTAAGTTTATTGCTTGACACACCTAAACTACTGAAGAATTCTTTATCTTTTACAGATTTGTTCATCAAGAACTTCTTTTTAATTTTCGTTTTACAGTTTTACCTAATTACATTTCAGCAGTGTGTGTATTTAATAGTGGGTTAGTTGCTTTCAGGTTTTTTGACTAGAAAAAAAAAAAACATCTAACTCAAGAAATAAACACACATTTGAAAACGAAAATTCAAAATTTGAAATGCCCGCTTGTTAGCGCCATCCATTGCCTAAAGCGTAAACTAAAGGCCACGTAAATAACACAAAGCTGAATGCTATGTGCAAGTACAAATGGCATTTAGCATACTTCAGACAGCGCTGTATGGTTGACAGCTGTTCATACAATCGCTCTCTTTCTCTCTCTCTCTCTCTCTCCTGCTATATGCTTCAACGAGGTGGACGGAATCAGCAGCCGTGGTGCAACTTTAGTTTATTTTGACCGGCAACTAAAATTTTATTAAATAATATAGCCGAAGCATTTGAAGTCACCGAATATCATTTTAGTTTTCAAATCACTTACCAGTAAAGGCCAACAGCAGCGCATAGAATTTAAGTAAGTGTAAACAGCCGCAGCCAGCGACGTTGAGGTTATGTCGAATGCTGTTGTGGCCAAAAATAATAATGGCCATAAAAACATACATGCATACATATGCTTAACTATATATACCCATGTATATATTTTGCAGCGACAGCACTCAATATGCCACCTAAGAAGCACGATGAACCTGAACGCAAGCCGCTGATCGGACGCATTGGCACCAACCTGCGCATCGGCATCGTCGGCGTGCCCAACGTTGGAAAGTCGACGTTCTTTAATGTGCTGACCCAGAGCGCCGCGCCGGCCGAGAATTTCCCCTTCTGCACCATTAAGCCCAATGAGAATAAGTATTCCAATTACCAAGAGCTGCGATGCCGCCGGCCATTGGAGTCGCAATTTGCGTTGCCTCCAAATAATTGTAATCAATGCAATTTTTTGTTCGTTCGTTTCATTGCATTGCCGCAGCTTCCCTGTGTCGCTTCTATGTTGGCTGCCGTCGCGGGGGCGTGTCCCAATCTCGGCAATTTGCCAGATCTAGTTGCAGGCTAAGATTCCACAAGCCGGCCAAGCAGCCAGCAGCTGCTTCGTATGCAAATTACGTGCAGCCCATTTAATTTGAGCGACTTCATTTTGAGTGCTCGCGGGTTTTTTTTTTTTTCTTTTTTTTTTGATTTTATAAAAATTATAGAAAATTGCAATGATTGGCGCTGTGGCCAGGGCAGTGCTTGGCATTGAATGCCCGCCCCAACTCCCAATTACAATACCAATTCAAGCCAGCTAACATGCGCTCTCCCTCTCTCTTTCTCTCTCTCGCTCGTTCACCTTGCCTTACCCATACGTCGTGTACCCGTGCCCGATGAGCGCTTCGACTACCTCGTGGACTACCACAAGCCAGCCAGGTGAGTGTGCCACATATTGAGTGTCAAATAAGAGTGCTCAAATGAATATGTTCTCCGTTCGTTTGTAGTGTTGTGCCCGCTTATCTAAATGTGGTGGACATTGCCGGACTGGTCAAGGGTGCCGCCGAGGGGCAGGGCTTGGGTAATGACTTTCTTTCGCACATCAGTGCCTGCGATGCCATTTTCCATTTGTGCCGTGCCTTCGAGGATCCGGATGTGACGCATGTGGAAGGCGAGGTGGATCCCGTGCGCGATTTGAGCATAATTGCTGAGGAACTGCGGTTGAAGGACGAAGAGAAACTGTTGCAGAACCTGGACAAGCTGGAGAAAGTGGTCGCCCGTGGCGGCGACAAAAAATTAAAGCCCGAATATGACTCCATGTTGAAGATCAAGGACATCCTAGTCGACCAGAAGCGTCAGCTGCGCTTTGAGGACTGGAATGCGCACGACGTGGGTAACAAGTGTTTCTATCTTATATCCTGCCCTTCATCTTCCCTCTCTTTTCCGTAGATCGAAACGCTGAACAAGTACTTGTTCTTGACGTCCAAGCCAGTAATCTATTTGGTCAACTTGTCTGACAAGGACTTCATACGCAAGAAGAACAAATGGCTGCCCAAGATTAAGGACTGGATTGACAAGAACGATCCGGGCGCTCTACTTATTCCCTTCTCGGGTGCATTCGAGCAGCAGCTTAGTGAAAAGGACGAGCTCGAACGCAAGAGCTACGAGGAGGAGACCAAGTGCAAGAGCCAGCTAGACAAGATCATTGTCACCGGCTACAAGGCCCTGCAGCTGGAATACTTCTTCACAGCCGGCCCCGACGAGGTGAAGGCCTGGACAATACAGAAGGGCACAAAGGCGCCACAGGCCGCAGGACGCATTCACACCGATTTCGAGAAGGGCTTCATTATGGCCGAGGTGATGCACTTCGAGGACTTCAAGGCCGAGGGCAGTGAGGTGGCCGCGAAGGCAGCCGGCAAGTATCGCCAACAGGGACGCAACTACACGGTCGAGGATGGCGACATCATTTTCTTCAAATTCAACGCCGGAGCTGGTCTTAAAGATGCCAAGAAGAAATGATGCGCCTACATTATCATGCTGATCATCATGCACATGAATTTAATTCTATATTCACAATTGTTTTGCTTTGCCTGATGCCGAATGCAACGCTCGCACTCATATGACCCAAGTAAAAATGCATTTGATTTTTTTTTATGACTCAAATATTTGTGATTATTATTAGAACATTTATACCGGGTCCAAAGGGTTGGGTATTACTCCCCAAGTCTACGAAACTCTGCAAGTACCCGATTTCTGGCATGTCTAACAATTCTAATTGCATCAAATTAAACAAATGTACGCATAAATAATAACGACTTTTTATGAAAACAACCCATTCATAAATGTGTACGTATGTAAATATATTTAGCTCTGGTTGACGGTTATATTGACTAAATATAGAAGAAATTGGAACTCTTCGAACAGCGCCAACTGAGTAAAAGCTTCTATCCGAAGGAGTCCGAAAATTCAAATTCAAAGTTCTTGCTAACATACAAAGAAACCGCAAATTTGATTTGTCGAATGAGTACGAATTTTATCGTTCTTCAAAATATCGCAGGTTTAAAATAACGGGAGTCGAAAATATATTTGTAGGTAAATTTACGTTGGTATTTGCACTGACCAGTGGTATTTGTTTGGGTTTTGGAAAATACATATATCGAAATATCAATACATCGATAATTTTGTTTAAAAATTATATATATATCGGAATTTTGTTTGCCAAATATATAATATTTTTTGCGATTGCTTTGACATATTTGAGTTGGTCAATCTTGTGCAAAGTGAAGCAAGCGTAAACCTAAACAAGAACGTTGCAATCGGGCGATACTGATTGCAGAGTACTCATTCACAATCCAACCGCTATCAGCCCGATTATATGTACATACATACATATTTATGTATATACATATTGTGAATTTTTCAAGTCTCTAGTGCGCAACACAAAACGGGGCCTGATCCCATTTAAATTAAGAAATCATTGCTAACTATTCCCTTTTATATCTAGTAAATCTTTAGAGCTGGGATAGTCGAATTACACATATGTATAATTTATAAAATTTTGACTTTTGTTATATTTTGGATTTCCCATTGAAAATGGGTATGGGTATAAAAAGTCCACAAAAAAAGTTATTAAACGATTAAGTTCTCATACATAGTAAGCGCACACTGCAGCCCATGCGTGTTTATACGTGGGTGCTTGTGTGTGTAAGTGTGTGTGTGTGTGTGTATGTGTGTATGTGAATGTGTGCGTGTGTGTGTGTGTGTGTGCGTGTTTCTTGTGTAAGCTGAAAGACGCGAAAAATTATTGAAATA